ACATACTACATTGCGTACAAAGCAAATAACACTTTAAACTTTCTTAGACGCAACATATCAAACACTCAAGTTAAGGCACGAGCATACAAGACCCTTGTAAGGCCGTTACTAGTAGAATATTGTCAAATCGTTTGGGACCCCTACACTCAAAACAACATTCGTAACTTGGAAGCAGTACAGCGACGAGCGGCGCGCTTTGCCCTCCATCGCTATCGACGCCAGTCTAGTGTGACAAATATGTTGTCTTCACTTGAATGGCCCCTGCTTGTGGAGAGGAGGCGTTGAGCTAGGCTGATCATGTTTTTCAAAATTACAAACAATATCGTAGCCACACAGATGCCTCTTGTCACCAAAGGACTGTCAACTGCATCACGCACAGAAAACAGTCTTGCCTTCCACCCTCCATTTTCGCGTGCAGACTACTCATTCTTTTCTTTTCAGAGACTGGAACAAACTTTCAGAACACATAGTTAAAGCCAAGACCTTACAGGCATTCAAAAATGCCCTAAATAACCTTTATTCTCCCATACACAATACAGGTACTCACCGCTACCCACTTGCAGGGTGGCGGACAGGGAGTAGCGCCCCTGCCCATTGAGGAGCTGGCTTCCTCCTTTTACTCACCCCCATACAAACCTTACAATAAAGCGACCACCTACCTAACGACGTTTCGACACGTAAACTGAAGAAAAAGAAGATCTAAAAACCTCCTAACTATTTAATGAGATGCAGCTGTCCTACAGATTTGATTCAGTTACCAAACACACAGAACCTAACCAAATGCGATACAAACTGACGTGTACAGGAAGTAAAATATTCCACAAATAGTTATACATCACAGCCACAAATTGTCCAGTACAGAAAGCAACAAAGGCTACATTTCAAGCATTGAGAAGCGAGAATTTCGGTCAAAACCACGGCCTTTATTTCCAGTACTTGTGTTTACCACGCCACGAATTATTCCTTGATCTGAAAACCAAAAATGGCCCTTACGAAAAGAACGGCCCTCACCAGTAACAACTGCACATCTAAACACACTCTGAAACAGATATTCTGTGCGACAACTGCATGTTTTCGAGAAAAATATTATAGAAGAGAGAAGCAAACAAGCAAACGTAAATACATGTAAAATCCGACGCAACAAAAAAGACTCGGTTTCTAACAAAGGACTAACGGGCTGAACGTCTTGAGTGACCGTATCTAACAGGAGGGTTCCTCACCAGTAACATCTACAAACCCAAATACACTGCGAAACAGCTTTTATATGCGACAAATGCGGGTTCGTCAGGAAAAATAGTCAAAGAATACAATACATAACCTCACCTCACAATGGCCGCGCTGAACTGACGCTACAAAATCTGCAGACGATCGCAGGATCCCAATAATATCCATCCGCTCCGACACCTGGATGGTCATATCATAACAAATAAATCACAATAATATCGTCTGTCGCGCCAAAATTTTATCCTTGTACCAGTATGTGTTATCTGTCAAATAAACTACATATTTGACGTATTTGTAACTACATGTGTCCTGTTTGCCTCGCACTATTTTATGGCGGCAAATGGATACATTCTGTCTGGAGGGAGATATACGGTGGAGCATACCCAAAGCCCTGAGGCTCGTTTAGGGTTTTATAAAACAGCGTTCTATCATACTATTAGGGGTATTGGACAAAAATTTTGTTTTGTTGTTAGCCATTAACAGTGTAGCTTTTTAGAAAGAGCTCATTAAACTGAACAAAATGGTTTTTGTTTGAAGTAAATCGGATGTTGTATGGCGGAGATATTTGCAATTTATGTCCCCATTTTGGGGTCGTCGTTGTTACGAAGTCGGTAAAATACGCCATTTTTATCATTTTTCATATGCTAATATCATAAAAACGAAACATCACACAGACTTCAATTTACTTGTACAATGCTCTATTGATATCATATTAAATGATGTGTAAAAACCAGAATCATTGCATCATTATTTACAGAAATACATAATCCTGAAATATTGAACAATATGCCCTTCGGGAGCACGCATGGAAACCGTTGATTTTGGCAAAATGCCAAAAATTTCTAAGTCCCCCTAATTACATATGCAAAACCACAATAATTCCACTATACTTAAACATATCTGATCCAAATTCACATCTAAGGGGTTTGGACACACACTGAATCCGATTTTACAATCAAAAGTGGCATATCTTATCTCCATATCGTGCTTTTATGACTTTATTGCCGTCGGCCTAATTAATTATGCGCGAATGCATTTTCTCCCATGTCTTTCATTGTATGTCAACATATTTCACATCTAGGGGGTTTTGGCACGTGCTGAATCCAAATTTGCTATCAAAATTGGCATATCTCATCATCTTATAGTACTATTATGACTTAACACACAGTTTTATGACGTTCCCTCATTATATATGCATCGACAGATTTTCTTACGGAACATAGATGTTTTGTATACATTTATCCATCTTCCACTATATAAAACTTATCTTAAAACTTAACAATATTAAAGTCTATAGAGATCTATTGGTCCTAATCTTACTCATGTCCTTTTCTTCTTTTTCAGGTTCCTCTTGGACTTGACGGCACGCTGTGTTTGGGCGAAGTACCTGTTGTAATATTGCACGTACTGTTTATCTATGTCTTCCCACCCATCTATCGTCGTCAGTCTCAGGTTGGCAGTTGGTTGCAGCTGGGCAGTACTGATTACACACAGGACAAACTTTACATCTACAGGGTACACAGACTCTCTGTCGGGCCAGAAGAACAGATGTTCTCCCTTCTTGCTTCTCTGCATGTATGACACAATAAACAGTTCACCAGCATTCCTCACTTCCTTCACTCTGCCCACTGCCCAGTCGTCTTCATATGCAACAATCACGTGACTGTCTACAGCTGGAGGTCTTGTACAGTCTTCAGTCTCCTCCACCACACGACTGTCTTCCACCTCATGACTGTCCTCCTCCACACTACTGCCCTCCACCACACTACCGCCCTCCTCCACAAGACTGTCCTCCTCCACACTACCGCCCTCCACCACACGACTGTCCTCCTCCACACTACCGTTCTCCTCTTCACTGTCTTCGCTAGCACTCTCCTCTTCTTCACTGTCATCGCTAGCACTCTCCTCTTCTTCACTGTCTTCGCTAGCACTCTCCTCTTCTTCACTGTCTTCGCTAGCACTCTCCTCCTCATCACATCCACCTCCACTTCTTGGCTCTTCTCACCAGTCTTTCTTCCCTTCTTCTTCTGATGTCTCTGCTCCTCACTCTGAGTTACCTCCACTGCTTTCATAGTGAAATGTGCCTTGATACTAGACACATTGTCAGCAGCTTCTTCTGCGTCAATCAACTCCCCTTGCACCTGACGTTGCGCCTGCGAGGTGGACTGTGCAGGCGTGACAGGTTTCAGTTGAACATTGGGCGAGGTGACAATGGACTTCAGGTTAGCAGAGAGGACACTTGGGGGATGTTGGGAACCGCCAGAGGAGAGGGCAAAGATAGTGCTGTTGGATTTTGAGAGAAGTGGGTTGATGGCTTTCAGATATGTTATGTGGGCCCTGAGTAGCTGTAGCTGTTTGGTTTTTGTTTGGGATGAGATATTGTTCAGGAAGTCTTCACAGTCATGCTCCGACTGGACAGGACCACCAAACTCCTCCAACCGTTTTTTCTGTGTGTCCTGTTGATCCTCCTTCTTTTTGAGTAGCCTTTTATGGTCTTCGGCCTGTGCATTCATCTTTGCCTCTCTCCTCTCTCTCTGCTGCCTTTCCCTGTCCTCGTACACCTTCTGCCACTTTCTTGTCTCCTTCCTCACCTGATGCAGTATTGACAGGTACTTCTCTGGATCATCCTCAGAGAGGGCTCTGAGCCACGCGGCTGTGCAGTTGGACTTAAACATCAGCTGACCCTCAGTGGCCATTCATACAACATTGTCGAGCACCTCTTACATATTACACATCGACTATCCTCGAATATTTCCTGATACCAGTATGTGTTAACTGTCAAATCAACTACATATTTAACATACATGTACTTGTTAGCCGTTACATGTCGGAGCGGATGGATATTATGTGTCCTGTTTGCCTCGCACTACTTTATGGCGGCAAATGGATACATTCTGTCTGGAGGGAGATATTCGGTGGAGCATAAGCAAAGCATTGAGGCTTGTTTAGGGGTTTTATAAAACATCGTTCTATACAACCAAGGAGGGAAATACCACCTATTGTATTTAACCTCCTTGATGTATTTAACCTCCTTGATATCATATGGTCCGATTCTTGTTTCTGCAAGGAGGTTAAAAAAGAGAAGCCTTCTCTTTTTTAACCTCCTTGGTTTATGGATGTCTTCAGCCTATGCAACCTTCCAGAGCGTAATAGCTCTAATAGCTCGAAATAAATATCGGAAGGCATGCAAAATATGTTTTGTGTCATGGAAAGGTGAGGAAAACAACAGAAGACACTGCACAAAGACACCGGCGCACGAGCATGTACAAGTTTATTTGGCTGATCATGCACAAATCCCTCAACGCCGTGTTTCAAAACATTTCAAAACGTTTGAAAGGCAATAATATAAGGATCCATATAATATTTCATTGATTCTGCGTGCGTTTTAAAAATAAATGTCTACACCGATAAAAGCAAAACACTAAAGAATAGATAGATACGCTGCTATGTTTTGTGTATTTTCACCACACAGAACTAAAATTAGAGCTAGATAATCAATCATAATACTCTAAATCATAGATAACTTGTCTGCTTGTGTACAATAAGACTAACTTTATTGTTAGTACGTGTATCAGTCGGGTGCTATGATATGCTACACTATTGGTTTGACCGTTTCTGGTTATCTGCTAAATTTTCGGATAATACTCACAAATAAACTTAAGACGAACACTTACAAAGACGAGGCTATTTTACGCCATTTTATGCTATTTTGTGTAGAGATTTTCTAAACAATTTTGTTTTGTTTCATTCAGGCTTCAGCCAAAGCCTTGTATAGATTAGACAGTCATGCGATACAGAATCTGACCGCCCAGTGCAGCGGCTGTCATCCAAGTCATGGGCTGGTCCTGGGGCCCACAGTTTACTTCATAGAGCTCTGCAACGAAAACAAATAAAAAATATGAACAGCAGCAACCTAAATAATGCTAAAGTCACATTTCCAAACCGGGGCCCAGCCGGTCAACCTTGTGGAACGAAAAGTTTGGTATGAAAGACAACAAAGCACGAAAAAAGTTGAAAGTTGAAAAAAAAAATAACTAGTTGCGTATACTATTGGTATAAAATGCAAATTTTTCGTTGTAAAAACAGCCCGGCCGGGCCCCGGTTTGGAAATATTACCTCACCATAAAAGTATAATCCCGCCCGGCAGGCCCCTGCCGGAAAAAAATCAATTTATTCAAAATTTGGTAGCTAAGTTACTATAGTATCAGGCACATACATAAACGGTAGACATCGTGAAGAGAGTTATTGGCTTTATAACCTGTTTGATCCTGGAACGCTCCTTGACCACTTGTCGGTTCTACGGTCGGTCCGATGCTCCCCGTGGTGCCGGTTTGAGTTGACATGCGGCCCGGCGCGTTACCGCCACAGCCCTGCTCGTCCTCCCCTGACGCACAGTCCGGGTGTCCGTCACAGATGAGATGACCGTGCACGCAGTACGGGTCCACAGAGCCGGGCAGGCTGCAGTAGAACGTCCCGCAGTCTTCTGTCTCACGGAGGAAGAAGTCTACACGATCACAGTCCTGCTCGTCCTCTTCCTCCGAACAGTCCGCGTCACCGTCACAGACGAAGGCGTCAGGAACGCATGACGCGTTACCGTAGACAGACGTGCAGTTGTGGCTGCAGGAGCCCCACTTGTATCCCAGGGACTCTTCAACTGTAACAACACAGTTGTAATCATTTGAATATACTAGTAAATAAGTGCGGCCAAGGCAAGTTGCCAACTGTTGCAATAGGTAAGTAGCATCATTACATATAACAACAAAATAGCATTTACTAACTCAGGAACATGTTTTTATTGCAATTAAACACATCTAATAACCACACCAGCCTCACATATTGAAAGGCCATACATATAAAATACAACACGGTGTATTCCGTATCACCCGAGGTTTCAGTCCGACCGCGGGTCAGATCGCCCAAAGGCCGGATGGAGATCCGAAGCCCACGGGAGGGCTGAGACCGAGGGCGATGCGGAATACACCGTGCTATATTTTGTCTGTCATTTCACCACATGAGGCAAAATTTGGTGCCCCTAAACCACAAAAAAATGCAACAACATCACGCGGCTCAGGCGAAACCCGTTGGGATTATTCTATGGTACATATGGAAGTCCGTGTGATAAACAAATAGGACCCAATGCAAGGAATGACATCAAGTGCAAAGTTTTGGGAGACGACTACAAGCAACTGCCGGTGAAGCAGCCAACCTTGCTAGCGACAAGAGGAAGTGGAGGGCTCTTGCAGTCACCTGCGTTGCAGCCGTCCGATGATGATGATGATGATGCACTAAACCTGTACTGTGAAGGCTATGTCTTACTAGCACAAATCTTCATTACGGTTCAGACTTACTGTTGCTGGGTCGTTCGTCCTCGCCGCCAGCACAGTCCTGACGCCCGTCCCCCAGCTGACTTGTCGGCAGACAGGTGACGTTGTTACCGCAGGTGAAAAAGCAGTGTTTGGGTACTCCTGTCACGGAAAGTACACAACACATGCATACATAGAAACAAGGCAAAGCCCTATGAATATAGAGATTTTCTTTATTGACACAACAAAAAGTACAGAGACTTTTGTATGGTCTTCTACAACTAAAGATCCAATACATGTGGTAGGAATTTACTCAACACAACCTATTTCCTCGATGTCACAAATATCATTCAACTGCAATATGATATAGGCCCTCATTTTCAAAAAATTGCAAATTTTTGCTGAAATCTAAAAAAATATTTTTAAGATACGTCCATATTTTGTACGAAGGCACCATCCGCCATTTGCCCTGGAAGTCAGCCCTTTTTTGGCCTACCCCCTCCCCATCACCTACCTTGCACACAGCCCTGCTCGTCTCTACCATCTAAACAGTCCTGTAGTTCATCACAGATCCAGCCACTCGGGATGCAGGAGTCACTTAGAACAGTCAGACATTCCATCGCACACTCTTCAGGAAACACAAAGTGCAAAACATGAGTGCCTCTCATCTGTTATCAACCCACTATTTCGTCCAATATATGGATAAGATTCACGGATCATACTGATCAATGTAAGGTTCAGAGAGAGCTTACTGTAATATAGAAATTTAAGTGATGGGGAGAACAGAGAGAAGACAGATTGATAATGACCGAGACTAGTTTCATCAGGTTGCTGTTTTTTCAGCAGACGTTACGGTACGTCTGTCAAATTGTAGATACTGTATGTTCCCTGTAACTGTTGTTTGTTTGTTTGTTCTTTCCTTTCAGTCACAACAAGTAATTTTTATTGATGACGTCAGTGCGCGCATTGATTATCGTCGGTTTTTTTAAAAAATATCAAATTTTGTTGCCCTCTGACGGTGGTCAACATGCTGAAAATGGGAAAATATGTAGTAAATGTCCAACGGCAAAAATTGAAATAATCTTTATTGAGTTCTGTCAAGCCTATATGGGTAAACATCAGTCCCATATTTTGAGTTATGGAGCCCATGGGACGCAAGGTATGTACTCAGTATGCGTGCGTGCAACTATTTAGACTCCGAGACTGCAGTTAAAAAAATTCTTCACACGGTACGTAATATTTACGACATACAAAATATGTGTTTGTTTAAAACGAGTCTCTTTATTCAGATAGACAAAGTGTATTATAACATTACATGTATAACTGCATACGAGTAAGTTATTTTATTGCTGTCTAAAGAAACCTGAAGACCTTAACAAGGACGAGGAGCGGAATTTTAATACCATTGCATCAAACCAGCCTGCATCTCTTTTTCCTAAAATGTTGTATGACTTTCGAGTGTACTCTGAGAAGTCTTACCGTCACAGTTTACCTCGTCCTCCCCTGTTGAGCAGTCTTCTGTGCCGTCACAGGCCTGACTATCGTGGTACACCTCATCGTCCCCACACGAACTGTACTGGCTGTCAATTTCTGCAAAGGAAAGTGACAACCTGACAACCCATTGCTATTGGGCAAGTATAAGCACACATACACTGACACACACACCTACACACACACACACACACACACACACACACACACACACACACACACACGCACGCACGCACGACACACACACACACACACACACACACACACACACACATGCATGCGTGATAAATTGCATCATATCGGCAGCAGCCATACAATCCATTCACTACACGACCACAATTCTAGGTACAGGGTAAGCATAGAAGGTGGGAAAAACGAACCCAAGCATCCGAGATGCTTTAACTTCACGGTCACAAGCCCACACTCCTCCTCTAGCACGTCTTCGCAAATAGGTCTGCAACGCAATTTGTAAGTTCGGTTTATTAACATCCGGTGATTTTGGGGTTGTTTCCTTGTTTATTATCTGCTATAACTCATAAACCTTCACTTATTTGATTTCACCACAAAAATAGTTTCAAAAAGCTGTTCTAATGTGCCATTTACCTATCTAAGAAAAGGTACGAAGTGATCGTATTTACTTGTATCCATAGTTATAGTCCCACGGCACACATCCGTCAAAAGCCCGACAGAAACTTTCCTTGATCGACATGTCCCGTTACAGAAGACGCTCTGCGATGCACACCCCGAACCTTGAATGGATGAATATCAATTGTGGTCATATGTGATGGCAACGAGCTTACATATGGGTTTGCTGATCTGTTTTGTGTTTTGTTGTAAAGTATACAACAGAGGAACTCTGGTAGGGAACCGATGTTGCAGTGTGAAATGATGAATTACAATTGTGAACGAGCGTGGAATTGTTAACAGTCTAGCTGAGTGCAGAATAGTGTTTCTTTTTACCTTCGCCAAGAAGGTTATGTTTTCAGTAGCGTTTGTCTGTGTGTTTGTGTGTGTGTGTGTGTGTGTGTGTGTGTGTGTGTGTGTTTGTGGTTTAGCAAGATAACCCAAGAAGCAGTTGGATGGATTGGAATGAAACTTATTAGGTGGGTAGGTCTTCATGAGACCTAGAAATGATTAGATTTTGGACCCCTGGCGGCTTTCCTAGGTACTGCAGCAGAACTTCCGGTTTTGATATCTCGTGATCTGGACATGCTAGGGTCACGAATTTTGGATGGCAGATAGTTCTTGGGATAGGGAAGAAGTGACATGAGTTTGGGTCCCCTTTCTGGAACTGCAGGAACATTTGTTGAAAAAGTTTCGAAGGAGGATAACTCAAGAACCGGTTGACCCATTGTCGTGATTTTTGGTATGTAGGTAGTTGAAGTGATGCTTGACATAATCAAATGACAATTATGCAAATCAGGAACTAATTTGCATAATTAATGAGGAAATTCTATAAATCTGCTTTGTTCGATAATAGAACTATGAAACACTTGTGACATCTACTTGAGAACGAGAAAAACATCTGAGGATATAGATTATGTAAATGAGGACCTACTTTGCATAATTAATGGCAAATGTTTATAATTTCATAGTTGTAACTGCTGGGAATTTCATACTTGCCACATTTGGAAGTTAACTGAAGGTGAACATCAATAAACAATTTATTCAAATCATGACCTCATTTGCATAATTTATGAGGAAGTGCTATAATATCCTTTGTTAAGATAAGGCTGTCATTGGGTGGAGAATATGATCAACTGATATAATCCATGCAAATGAGGCGCTTATTTACAAAATCAATGATTAAAATTGTATAATTCGTCAACCGCAAGGGTTAACATCATTTGGCGAAGGTATGAGATCGTGGAACTCTTGTTATACATTTTATAGAATGCTGAGGCACTAATGAATAGCACTTGATTCAGGAAAAACACAAATTGACTAATGAAATACACCTGATATTTACCATCTATGACGAGAATCTCGACTCTCAGTGCAATCCGATTTTTGAAGCTGAGCGGGTAGAAACGAGTGTAGAGTGCATACGCTGGATGGTCCAACAGATTGCGAGCATAGCGGTGGCTGTCACTGTTCCCCTGGAACACCTGAAACAAACAAAGAATATTGCACTGTGAAGATGCTCTGAAGGTAACATGAAAACTTAAAAAGGCTACAAACATACTGAGAGCAGCCCTGGATCACGCTGATATTCTTATATTTCTTATTCGTCAAAATCGTAATCTTAAATGTGTCTTTTTCTTGTCTCTCTTCACAGTGTTTAGTTGGACTGACCATCTCTTCGCCGTCCCCTGAGCTGTATGTTGTCCACCGTCCATTGACAGAGAACGCCAGCTTGTATGACGTCACCCAGTAGTCCAGGTTGTACGCTCCCTGGGTGATGACACCGGCAACTTCGTACACTCTGTCATGCTTAATCTAGGGTTGACAGAGAAACATCACTATAGTTTTATTCGATTGAGGAAATGTGGTAATTGTTCATTATTGAATAGAGTCAACTTTCAAAAGATTTTTTTAAATGCTGACTGGCAATGCAAAGCAGGCAATTCGTTGCTAGGCACGTCCCTACCAGAAAATTAGCTCCCAGTCGTAGACCCTTTACATCGGTGAAGTATCAGTCTTCTGGTGGTCTCGATCTACCTTTGGATCTCACAACCATTTACCCTAAGAGCACTTTTGAATTCCCGCTTGATCTGTTAGAGGACACTAGTTCTGGTGACCAGGCAATACTTACCTGCAGCCACTGGTCCGTGTCGGTGCGCAGAGCCGGAGACCAGCACGCCCCCTGCTGCTGTCCCTCCCCGCTGTTCAGACGGGCCTGCCACGGGAAGAAGTCGTCCCTTCGCGATGACGCGCTCACGTCGAGGTCGGGAACCTTCGGAACCGTACCAGGATCGTCGGGATCAAGTCCAACTCCCAATGGGACGTACTGGTCCTGCTTCAGCCACGTGTTTTCGTCTGGAGAGATCATTAGACTGTTAGTGGATTAGCGCACCTAAAATGTACCGTCCATGACCACTGTGGTTATGCTTGGAGCTCCATATGAAGCTAGAAGCCCTTAGTTCCCTGGATGTCATCTGGAAGGACAGAGCTCTAATGTTGCCCACCATGATTAGGGTACTGGTGTGGCCTGTGGTGACATGCGGTGTGGTGGCCTGCGAAGCATATACACTTCATACTGAAGATCGAGGAATTCGAGATGAAGTGGCTGTGCAGTATAGGGTCCTATAGGGCAGGACGTTTAACTACTGAGAGTAAGCTGAGTGGGCAGAACATCGTACAAACATCTCAGTTCTAGAAGAGTCATGGATGGAAAGATGACTCCTACCCATGATCAGAAGCTTGGAGTAAGCTACTGTACTTCGGACATGTGAAAAGCTTCACGAGGGCACAAAACATCCTACAAACACGATCTGCGGTACCAGGAACAGAGAGAAGCCGCGTTGTCCAGGTTTGGGTAGATGCCATCAGAGAAGCGTCTTACAAAACTACAGCAGACTAACCATTTGTGACGTACACCTCTATCACCATGGCAACCCAGCCGTAGTAGCCTGTCGGGTATAGACGGATGTAGCGTGACGTCACAGGAACTGGGAGAGGACGACTAACTCTGTTGTACCGATCTCGGTTTCCTTGGAAAACCTGTGTAAGAAAATAAGACAAATGAACATGAAAATGTACATACAACCTTTGCGGATACATGTATAATTGAGTAATTTTAAGAATCCCAAGATGACCAAGTACGTTTCCTATTAAATTTAAAGATGGCCATGCGCCAAAAGTGAACAGCCGTTGCAAGTCACAAAGTCTTCGCACCAGAACGTTGTCACTGCTGCCTGTGTACGGTCCCCACGAAGCGCCGTCCATGCTGAAGGCTAGAGTGAATGACGTCACCCAGCTGCCCAGGTCCCAGTTCGAGCCACCTCCACTGATCATCACCCCTGTGACGTCAGTCGTCTTGCCCAGGTAAACCTGCATTCAAACATGAACAGACCCCCTTGTCATTCATCCTGCTACTGAACATACGAGTACACGTATGTTAAATTCTGCTACAACATACGAGAACACGTTCTTCATACCTACAATCTAGATTCAATGTCAATGAATAGCAGGTACCTGAAGCCATTGGCCCACCACAGAATTTGGTACCCAGCAGTATCCTGGCATAGTTAAAGGCGTGTGGCGAGCCTGGATCGGGGCGAAGTCAGGTTTGTAGTTGGAGCTGGCGGTGAGGAAGACATCGGGAATGTACCGGCTGGCCAATCCAAGTGGGAATCCAGGAGGTTTGGCTTCTATCAGGAAAATGTCATCAGTAAGACGTAGTGTACACTGACTGTAAAACTAGGAAGCTTACTCAGTAAAATACGAAGTTAGTAGTCAGTACCTACCTCCACAGTCTTCCTCGTCCTCCCCTCCACTACAATCCGTCAGGTTGTCACACAGCTGAGACTCCATCAGACACGTCCCGTCTGTACAGGAGAACTGCCCAGCACCGCAACCTGGGTGGGGTTTTTATGAAAAGTTTACCTAATTATGCATATACTTCTAAAATGGTCTTTTGAGAACAACATTTATCTTTCCTATTATGGTTTGGACCAAGGACAAAGACACATGAAGTGACCCCACCGCCGGTTGTACAGTTCATCTCGTCCTCTCCGTTGGAACAGTCCTCCAACCCGTCACAGACGCGGTACGTCGGCAGACATCCCCCGTCACACTCCAACTGGAGACCATTGCAGGGAGCTGTAAGTGACGGGATGTATGTTGGAGTTCTTAAGACTTATTTTATTAGCGAGGCATAAATAGAGAAATAGATGGATGTGTGCTGTGTGTCTGTGTACGTATGTGCTGTGTGTGCGTGTGTGTGCGTGTGTGTTTATGTGTATGTGCGTGTGTGTGTGTGTGTTTGCATATATATGTGTGTGTGTGTGTGTGTGTGTGTGTGTGTGTGTGTGTGCTTGTCTGTCTGTGTGCGTCAGTGTATGACTAGTCTTATTGATAGACTTACTGTGGCAGTTCTCCTCGTCTTCCCCAGAAGAGCAGTCCTTGTCCCCGTCACACACCGAGGCGTTCCTGATGCATTCACCGCCGTCACACTGCCACAGTCCGTTCTCTGCACAGGACTCTGAAGAAATGTACACTGGTATGGAACGTTTCTGTCCAATGCTCCACAATTACAATCGATGAATCAATCGTGACATATATGCATTTTCTTGATGAATACGGTTTTTCCTATGTAGTACCCCCAGACTAGCCTGGGTACCGTATCCTGGTTTGTTTACGTCCGGACGTAAACTAACCAAGATGGTACCCAGGCTACCCTCGGGCATAAGCATTACAAATTGTGAAAATTAAAGTTGGTTATTTTGGGGAGCAGAATTTCAGTCAGAAGCTCAGAAGAATGTATCTGATAGACTTCGAAACGAAAGCAGGTGAGATACACCACGAGTTGTGTAAGAAGAAAACCCCCATATCCCACAAATGAAATAGATTGCTACATCATTACACATTTCACATCACACATTTCCATGTGACACAAGTTAAATGTTGCAAAGGCTATGTCATGTAGGTATGAGATCTCCGAATTCTTGTTTGACCTTTTCAGGGCAGTCTCAGCTGCAGGTCATGATTGTGTACATCATGGGCTAATTTATAATTTGCTTAAAACTTACGACACAGCAGCTCGTCCGATGCATCATCACAGTCGATGATACCATTGCACACTGCAGATGGTGCTACACATTCGCCGCTGTCTTCACATCGGAACTCCATACTGGTACACACTGTACAACATATCGTTTGACGGTAGTGCGCAGGTTACATGGGCGTAAATATGCCACAATGAGCACACTTGACTACACTAACCATTTTTAAGTATTGAAAACACCACAAGAAACTTATATGATGAGGGTCCTTTCGGTCGGTGTGACTGTTTCAGATCTTACAGCCTGTCATCCGTGTTGACATTTTCAAAAGCGTATGCTAAGTTATCGTAGCAGTCACCTGTTATGCTAACCTTAAAAAAATTACAAAATCTCAACAAATAATGCAAACAAGATCCTGATTTGCATGATTTATGACTGATGATGTTGACTTTTACCTAATTGTCACAAATGTAAATCATCGCTATTCAACACTATGGTATTATGACATTTTCCCAGGTATTATGCAAATTAGGGAGCATTTTGCAGAATTGATGTTCCTCGCTTACTTCGCTACGTATGTTCCAAGATTCAATGACCTATAGTGGAATACATTTGATTCATGAGCGCTCGAGCTTTGTGCAATAATCATGCAAATTAGATACATGTACTTGTATGCATAATGACCATCCAATTTATGATTTTCTCCTCAGCTACCTACCTACCTACCAAAACCCATGACAATCTACCAACGCTTCATGAGTTATCATCTTTTATAAATGTTACGAAATTTTACGAAAAATGGTCCTGCTAGGAGGCCCAAACCTAGGCCACTTGTTGATTCTCTGTTCCAAGGGCTCTCTGGCAGCCAATAAACTAGAAAGTGAGCTTACCGCAGCCACTCTCATCCGACTCGTCGTAACAGTCACCGACGCCATCGCAGCGCATTGTACCATCGATGCAGTAACCGCGGCGTCCACAGAAAAACTTGGGCAAGGGACAATCATCGGCTGTGCAGCTTTCCTCATCGGAACCATCGTGGCAATCAGTCACACCGTCACAATGCCATTCTGGCCGGATATTACTTGAATAGTCGGTTGTGGTACACTCTCTCAGACAATCTCGCTCATCTTCACCGTCTGGACAATTGTGTAAGTCGTCACACAGCCAATCTTCCGGGATACATGCTCCACTACCTTGACACCTGAAGGCGGGACGATCACACACTTCGCTCCAGCAATTGTCTTCATCTGAACCGTCTTCACAGTCTTCCTTACTATCACATCGCCAGGTTGGATCTATACATTGTCCACTGTCACACTTGACGTAATCGAAAAAATAGCACGCTTTGTTTATGCAATCTTCCTCATCTGAGCCGTCGTCACAATTGACCACACCGTTGCATTGTCGCTGTGGAGGGATGCATTCCCCGCTTCCACACTTCAAGTCCCCAGGGTTGTAACAGTCTTTGTTCATGCAGTCGTCCTCATCTGAACCATCGTCGCAATCTTCATCACCGTCACATTGCCAGTATGGGGGGACACATTCTCCACTTTCACACTTGAAATAGTTGGACAAGGGACACACGGTGCAATATGAATATTCTTCATCTGAACCATCTGGGCAATCATCATAACCGTCGCATTGTAAGTCTATAGCGACACATTCCTCACCTATATCACACTTGAAGTAGTTGGGCCAGGGACACGCTGTACAATTTTCCTCATCTGAACCGTCTGTACAGTCATCCCTACCGTCACATTGCCTGTGTAGGTCTACACATTCGCCACTATCACACTTGAAATCGTCGCGGTAGTAACACTCTTTGTTTATACAATCTTCCTCATCTGAACCGTCTCCACACTCATCAGCACCGCTACACTGCCAGTATGGGGGGACACATTTACCACTTTCACACTTGAAATCAGCGGGATTGTAACACTCTTTGTTGATGCAATCTTCTTCATCTGAACCATCTTTACAATTATCACCACCATTACACTGCAATCCTGGGTGTACACATTCACCACTATCACACATGAAGTAGTTGGGCAAGGGACACGCTGTACAATTTTCTTCATCTGAACCGTCTGGACAATCATTATTACCGTCACATACCACAGCGAGAGAGAGACAGCGACCGACAATGTCACAGCCGAAAACGTCGGGCGACAAACAATCTGGAGCCGTGCACTCTTCATCCGAGCCGTCAAAGCAATCTATGAATCCATCACACCTTTCTGCCCAATCGATGCAGTCGTTAGTCGTTTTGCATGCCAAGGCCGGGCACTCTTCGTCTCCGTCGGCAATATGAAGGGAGGCATGGCCGATGTACATCAGGGACATGAGTAGGAGCAAGCCGGGAGCCATGGTCGACTTAACGGTCGGAAATGTAGCTGACAATTTTTGGGTGTACTAGTCGTACCCTGGCACAGAGGCGTCTAGTGCCAAAATAATCAGGTAAGTACTGGGCTTTGTGAATACCCTGTTTTATGCAAAAGGCTTATAAAAAGTATAGAATTACAGGGAACATATGGGTACTAACCCAGAGGAATGTGAGGAAACTTTTTAATTCGAATCCCCACATTCTCTCGCTGTTAATAAAGTGAGTCACCCCAACTTATCAGGATATGTATTCAAAATTTGTGCCGTTGACCCAACGAGTTGATCTAAATGCAAATAGACTTCGATAAAGATAGTTAACTTTTTCAGATCTGACGTATTCTTAAGCTTGAAAACAAATCCAGGTCGACGTCGCACTCGCCTACATAAGGCACGTGTAGTTTATATGCTATGTAGTCCCGTACTATACAGTGCATGTCCCATGCCGCCCCTTTGTTGCACGCGTAAGACACATGCAGTTACATGTATGAAGTCCCAATGAACCCGGTTAAAATTCATTTTTACAGTATTATACTGTAAAAATGAATTTTACTATTCATCAGAAATATACAAACACATTTTGATTGGTGTGTGGGAAATATATGACTATTTCTGTCAAATACATACATTTTCCAATAAAGGGTTAATGTTCCTACCCCGAGATGTATATGGTGAAATAATCGCTGGTCAGGTAACGATAACCACCGAATAAATCACCAAGTGAGGGGAGCGGGATTATATCACCATATACACCGAGGATAAGGTGGGCATTAACGTTATTATCATATAGCCTATCGAAAATGCAACTGACACAAATTCCTTAATAGAATTCTTCCATTGCTGAAAAACTATAACATTCTATGTTACGTGTAACATGATGGCATGGACAGAAAAACAGTTCATATAAGCAATCACCTGCGGTGGCATTGGTGGCACTTTAAGTGGGGGTGTCAAAAATTATGTTTAGTATTTTCTGTTTAAATTTCATTTATATATTTTAATAGTGTTGTACTTTGAAATAAATTAACTACAATACGTTTCCTTATAGATTGCCCTGTCCTCTGTATAATAGTGCGGTCCAAAAAGGTGGTCGGTTATTAGAAAAATAAGTTACGGCCTGATAACCAATGCCAAATGGAGCCTTCTGATTGGTCGACGCCTTCTAGCTATATGGTAATGCATATTGAAACCAGCTGACGTGACTCTAGGTTGAGGTATGTAGAATGACCCGCTGTTTCGTCGTAACTACCAGGCAGAGACATCGTGAAATATCTGTTGTTGTTTTTCTTGCAAATGATTTTGGTAAGACTTATAGTTGCAACCCATGATCATTTGTATGTTTAACAATGTATCTGAATGTTACCTTAAGTACAGTTGGTTTGCGATTACATGAAGTTTTGGATCCCTTTCAAATACATAAAAGTCAATAGAACTGTTCACTAATAACGTTGAGTCGACTAAATTCTTTGGTTAATGATATAACAGAACAGAATGTAGTAACATTTTGATGGCCGTCCCCTCGCCTCGCATTGTCACGCATGTGCATTTCTGCGACCTGTTCGTAAACGAGCGAGTTATGCACAAATGCTTGTTTTTGGAGAACGATATTGGTGAACATGATATGCTTCACTTTGCACCCATACAGAATTGGTTCACAAGAAACAAGCATTTCTCTTGTTACATTGGTCAGATTAAGAACCGTTTTGTAGACAGTACATTTACATGTGTGTCGTGATTTATTATGGATATATAACATGCAACGAAGCTACTGTCGTCATCGTGGGCGACCTTGAAAACCGCAATTCTTGTTTACACCGTAATTAATACCAGCTCCCCATATGAAAGCGATATGACATGCATGCAAACATGATATTTTAGCCATCCCTAAAGTCGTTCAAAATTGTACCTCAACAAGTGTGCCGTTGTGTATAGTTTGACTTTTATTTTGCTGGTATACAAAGCATGTGATAACGGAAAACAGATGGATCCAGTGGATAAAAGAAACGGTCTGGATATAAAGGAAGTTAACCCTAGTGATAAACGGGGACGAGGGGGGGCCCGGGGGTCAAACTTAGGCCTGTTTGGGATTGTGCTCTCGCCGCAAAATCACAACTTATATGGTCTTATATCGGCTACAAACTTGCGGCGACAAGCAGAACTCCAGTCAGAAGCTCTGAAGAATGTATCTGTGAAAAACTTAAACTGTTCTCCAACTCAAAATTTGACTCACCAGAAATTTTCGACTGAATCACTCAGTCTTCCTCAGCTATCTGACCCAAATGCTGTGT